AATTTCAATGAACCTTTGCGTTTTTATTTCGTTACTTTTATTTTATTTTAATATATTAAAAAATACAACTAATTAACTATTAATAGAATTTATTTAAAATATATATTGCACTGATGATGACTTTACGTCGAAATAGATCTATATGCATAACTTTAATAATAATATAAAAAATAAACGATTATAAAAATGGGATCTTGCTTGATTAATTTTAACAATTAAAATCATAAACGATTATAAAATGGATTTCAACATTTTGAATAGACTTAATTGTAAAGAACTAGTTCAAAATATTAGAAAATCAACCATAAAACTTGTTAATGCTGAATCGTCGGTGGATTTTTTGAACAACTGTATATATATATATATATATATATATATATATATATATATTATGAAACTTGTTTCCTTTACCTGTCTTTTTCTCAGTGGCATGTTAATTTTTACATTGTTCAGCTTTCGACAATTATCCTCCACTGAGTCGAGTGTTTGGCTGATGTGAGATGAAGAAGACAAGCTTTTGTATGCAGTTACTGAAATATCGGGCTGGTTACCTGTGTACTTCGAAACTATTTAATTGCGCGGTGCCACCAAAAATGCACTCTAGCGTTTCGATTTTCTTAAAAGTTGGTTGCTGAATTTGTAACGGATACAATTTTTAAATTAAAATTAATTTATTGCGGTTGAATTCAAATTATTCGCCATTTGTATTACTTTTTGAAATGAATATTCAATAATTGAAATTTATTGAGCTTTATTATCATAGATTCTTCCTTGGATCATTCTTAAAAGCTTTATGTGATCTGCCCAAGCCAGCTAGATTTTTGATTACCTGGCTTTAACAAATAAAATTTTGAATAAAGAAAGTTTTTAACGAAACACACCCACAGCGGATGTGAATGAACCTACACACACGCACACGCATCGCGTAACACATGATAGCCTGGTTCTCTTTGAATTCAAACCCGGTCACAACAACGACAGGACCAGACGCCACAACCATTACATCATCTCGCATTCATTATCGTTTAAACAAATTTTAAATTTAAACTAATGTTTACTTGGTAATTCACTCCAGGATTTCTAAAACAACAAAAAAATAATGAAGGCCTACCTTATTTTGCTTACAGCCATTTTTGCCTTCTTCCTACAGCCAGGCTCAGCCATAAAATGTTACATGTGTAATGTCACCGCTAGCTGCAACGACCCCTTCAGTGCCACTGGTAATGGTCAATGCGATGGAACATACTGCTTTAAATCTTCAGCTTCTGCTTCGGGTAAGATAATTTTATATTTTTTATTAATGATAATTTTATAATTGGTTAATTGTGATTGTTTAAAAAATAAAATTGCACCATCCTTATTATTCACCTCCCAGACAGCCAAAAATAAAGTGAAACTGATGTTTCAAATTGTCTAGTTAATTTTGAGATGAATAATTAGATCGAGCCATGATTAATGCAATTTGCAGATTATATTTCCTATAATTATTCATTTATTTCTGTGTTCATTCCTTACAATTAGTAATTGTTTCCTTTTTTTCTCAAAATGTCCAAAAATGTTGGAATGATTTTTGCAGTAAAATAAAGCAATTTGCTAATTTATTCCTCTTCCAGACATTCATTCATTCATTCGTTCGTTCGTTCGTTCATTCGTTTGTTCGTTCGTTTGGTTGTTTGTTCACCTATTTGTTTATTTATTCATTTATTCTTTTTTTCTTTCATTCATTTATTAATTAATTATAATTTATTATGAATAATAATAACAATAGAGAGTCGTTGTTAGATACGATTTGTTATTATTATGTTGTTATTAAATGTGTAATTGGTGACCGTTGCAAGAACAATTCATTTTGATTACCAGATCATTTCATTTCATTGATGCTGTTATCTTTGATTTGATTTGGAGAAATAAAATGTTAAATGTTGAATAATTCATTTATTCATTCATTCAAAAAATCATTCACTCAGGAATTCATTCATTCATTCATTCATTCATTCATTCATTCATTCATTCATTCATTCATTCATTCAGGAATCCAAGCAGTGTATCGAGGTTGTGCAAGCGCCAATTGGACAGCACAAATAGACGGTTGCACTGACCTGTCATCATTAACACCTGGAGTGAAAACAATCGTATGTTACTGTTCAACGGGACTCTGCAACGGGTCGGAGGGATTCAAATTCACACCCTTCTTCCTGATCGGGATATCCACGATAGGGTACCTCGCCAGATATGCACTCATCTAACTGATTGCTGACGATGTTTCGTTGACATCAGCATCAGGCTGCTATTGAATAATTTTTAGAAATTATTTGAAATAAAATAAAAACGATTTGAAAATTTGACATTTTTGAAATTGATTTCACAAAAATTTGTAGTTTGCTAGTAGTTTGTTTAGCTATACTTTTTTTTAGCTATGATTCACAATATTTAAAGAATATCATTCATCAACAAAGCCGAACAGAAAAAATTTCAAGTGTTTACTGTTATTTAAATTGAAAAAAATTTGAGAGCACTTTGAAATGTTTTTTGAACCTAACTTTTTACGTGTCTTTAATTTTGTAATTTGAAAAGTTTTAAAAAGTTGAACAACTTGCAGTAAGTCAATCCCATAAAACGTCGAACCGTCTCAGAGTTCACGTGTCGTCCGTTTTTTAAACTTCAATTCAATTTTCAAGAGGTTCAAATTTCAAAACGTGTTCGCAGGGCAGCGTGTTGCTTGCCTGGGTTGAAAATTTTATAAAAGAGCCGAAGAAGCATCATTCATCATCCTTGTCAACTTTCGAGTTTTTTATTTTTCAGTTGTGGTAAGAAAGAATTTTCAGTTTAATACATAACTTTCATGAATTTTTACTTAATTTACATTTATTTTCTGTTTATTCTATTGTTAAATTTTAAAATTTTATTTTCAGAAAATTTAGTTCACGTCAGCCATGCACGCCAAACTCATCCTCGCTGTCTTCCTGGCCGCTTTCTTGGCCGTCCAAGGCTCAGATCTTGAGGGCATGACCTTCGAACAACTGAAGGAGAAACTCACTGCAAGAATTATGGAGATCCCAGCCGCCGAAAGGTCACAGCGTGTACAGGAGGGTATTGATTACATCATGGGGAAAGCTTCCAGGCCAGCTGATTTCCTCCCAGCTGGTTAATTCGTATTCCATTTTAGTCTACGTTGTCGTTGATGTTGAGCATTTGTTTTTTAAATTTTATTTGAAAAAACCGGAAGCCCGCCACGGCTTGTATCGTCGCTAAAAATTATAATAACGATGTAAATCGATGGATCAATTGTTCAAAGTTAAAACAGAACGGCGAAAATGGACGATCGTATGGTCAACTTATGCTAATTTTTTTTCTAAAATAGAGACAAAATACTTTCAATTATCATTAAATAATTAATTTTTATTAATTTTTTTTGAATAGTTGATCAATTGATCGCCAAGATGACACCAGAGCAGAAGCAGGGCCTTATCCAATTCTTGAAATCCTATCTGTAAAGAGATAGACTTGACTTGGCATTGGACAAATGTTGATGGAATTTATCAAGAACATTTTTAATTTTAATTATTTTAATTTTTTAGTATTAGCTATATAAATAATAACCGTAACCGTATAAATAATAACCGTAATAACCGTATGAATAATAACCGTAAATTTTTCAATAAATAAAAAATAAAACTGCATAGTCATGTGTTGCTGTATGAACGAACTGAACAGCAGAAAATTCTTTCCTCATTTTGAAGCTATTCATTTTTAAAGCATTTCAATAGCCGTTTAAGAAATTTTAATTAAAAATTAGTTAAGATGTTAAAACAAAAATAAATAAATAAATAATTTTACACCAAAAACAAAAAAAAACTCAATCGACTTTTTAAACACCTCAGCGATAAGACAGTTTTCATAAAATTGGGTTGATTGTAATAGGGCTTGTAAGAGCCATTCCTAGACCCGGGCGAGATAAAACATGATGTGACTCCTAATTTATTAAAAAAGTTCCAACGATAATTAATAAGTTTATATTTCCAACTAAATTAATTAATTTCAGAACTAATTAAGTACTCTTCGAACACTCAAACATTTTTTTTATTTTAAATTACTTTTTTCAAAAATTACTTAATTAGGTTGGTATCATTCCAGAGGCTGCTAAATTTGGAGAACCACACCAAATGACCACCCCGTCCCCCTCTAGCCCTCCCTATCATCCAGGGCCTCTGGGTGGTAATTAATAAAGTTTAGTCATCAATTTGAAATAATGATATATCCAAGACTAACCATGTAAAATGTAATCTTCAAGATTCTTTTACATTAACTGTATTCTTTAATGTAAAATTTGAAATTTTAAAATTTGGTATGACAGTGACGAAAGAGAAAGAGTGAGAGAAAGAGAGAGTGAGAGAAAGAGAGAGGGAGAGAAGAAGAGAAAGAAAGAAAGAAAAAGAGAAAGAAGAGAGGGAATATGAAAACAAACTTTAACGAAACTTATGACAAGTCTAAACTTCTACGTTTTATCTCATTAATTATTTGTTCTTAACGATAAAAACATGACGTCATCTCTTAGTCGACCAAATTTTAGATTAAGTATTTTAAGATTAAAAGTGAATTTAGGATATTATATTTTTATATAATTTTTTCCGCGATTTATTTCCTATCCATGCATTTTTCATAAGAAGGCCTGCTGTTAATGTTCATGTTGTTAAATTTTTTATTTATTTTCCCTTTATGCGGTAAGCGTACCACACTAACTTTGCCTAATTGTGAGCCTCTCTCTCTCTCTCTCTCTCTCTCTCTCTGCTCTCTCTCTCTTTTTCTCTCTCTTTCTGAATATATGTATATGTATCATCTATCTGATGAAGCAATCACAAAATATGTTTTACTTAAAATTGTAGTTGAACAGTTCCTTTCATCCAAACTATATTTTAACCATATTTAAGAGTGTTTCGTATCTCTTCCATAGCATAAAAAAAAACTACTAAAATAGTAATTTTGTATCTAAAATTTTGATGGTACTAAACAAAGTAAAATACAACAACGACAACAAAGACGACGACGATATAATACAAACGACTTCCCTTATAAGCGAGGCATATTTGTCGTCAACAATTCACCATCAACAATTCACCATCAACAATTCACCCTCAACCATCAACAATTTCCCAGACAACGACAACACCAACAATATTGATATAGTATCAGATACTTTGCGTTTGTTTGACGTTGATACCTAAGAGATAAGAGCCTATGGTAGATTGAACCTCAATCATTAAACCGTGACGTGACACAGTTAAAATTATCGACAGAGAAACAGCATTAGCTAGTTTTATATATCTTCAAACATTCAAAAATCTTCAAAAGAAAAATGAAATTCGTACACATCTTAAGAATTATTATTTACATTCCGGCTGTCGTAACTAAGATGAATGCAAATCTAAATTTCGCTCTATCGCCAACATCCCCGTCTTTGGGCTCTACGTCATCGACATCATCTCCATCCTCATTGCAGGCCGTGACGTCATCAATGACGTCACTTTTCTCGGTGGTTTCGACGGAATTATCATCGTTATCATCAGCTTTATCATCAAACTCATCACAGTCTACCACATCACCAATTTCTTTACCATCATCTTCTTCATCATCATCATCTTCTTCTTCAACATCATCATTTTCATCATCTTTCATTCCGTCATCATCAATTCTACCACCACCATCAGCAGCAGCAGTAGCAGCAACAACCACATTCTTAGCAATCATCGACCGACAGACAAACGCACCAGCCTGTCCAAATGAGCCGACAGCCATCCAAGAAATTTCATCACACAAAGTGGAAAAGTGTGAGGTGGCCTGCGCTTACTACTGCCGCCTAAACAGCAACTGCACGTACTTCCGCTACTCTTCAGAGGAAGGCCACCATGCGAATTGCCGACTGTACGAGAGTGGAAATGTCACTGGAAGCAATTTGATTCCAGACTCAAACTCTACGTGCTTCCTCGTTAGTAGATGTTTTTAAAATGTTGTCTCAATCAATGAAGTTTCAAATACTAGCTTAGACAGGCAATACTGCGAAGTGTTAACCGGCCAATCCAATTGCTGAATACAAACCTCTTACTGGAGCAAAATCTAGAAAAATTAATTAATTTATGTTACGAGAGAAGTATGTGGTTTGATTTTATTGAGTGTAGAATGAGCAAGAGACCGTTTAATAGGCAGTCGCTGAAAAAACAAAGAAAGGCATCTAAATTCTTTTCTGGTATCAATAAATAATTAATTGCATTATTATGAGTGTAGCGATTGTTTTCAAAAATATTCCAATTAACCGGTTTCCATAGTACGTACGTATTTCTGGTAAGAGAATTTAAATATTTTAAAGTTAGTCTTCAACCTCCAAATTAATTTTAGTTTATTCAAATTTAAATGGTAAGGTGGAGCATTATTTAAATTGCGATCAAGGCTATCTTTCAATTTTGAAAATTATCCTCAACACAATTTTATAACCAAACGCTAGTGTGTATAAAATGACATCAACATTCAGCAGCATAGTTGAGACAAAATTTTTAAATTTTAAATAATTTAAATAAATTTCAGAAAGTGCTGGCCATAAATTCATCAACATCCTCACCATCAATAACAACATCATCATCATCATCGTCACCATCAACATCATCATCGTCACCATCATCATCATCAACAACATCGTCATCATCACCAACAACAATTGCTGCTGCTGATAATAGTAGAAATACTGATAGCACAACAGCAACAACAACAGCAACAACAACTATCACGGATACTACAAGCATTGTTACTGCAAAATTTTTTAATATTTTCACTGCAACTGCTACTATCAATGATAGAAAAACAATATCAAATACTAATGATACTACCGATGCAACTGATACTGCTGCTACAGATACAACTACTGTCATTACTGCCACTACAACCACTACCACTGCTAAAACTACTGCAGCGACTACCACTGCTACTGTGGCTACTGCCATAAGGACCACAACAAAATATACATATTACGACTGCGGTTTCGCTAACCCGTGTCCATACTCGCAGCCGGACTATCAAAAGTTCCAAACGATATTTTCTAACATGTACGTCTACTGCAAAAGTAACACCACAGCTGGGTGTGGTTATCTGACCTGCAGCTACAACGAAGTTTTCAACGAGACCAAGCAAACGTGTGTTAAACAATGGTAGAGAAGAGAAATGAGAAGGACATTGCGAAAAAGCAAAAAACAGTTAGTAGTAGTATTATTGGTAGTAGAAGTAGTCGTAGCAGTGTGCAGTCGTCGTCGCCGTCGTAGTAGTAGTAGTAGTAGTCAGACATAGATAGTAGCATCAACTTCAGTTTTAATGATTATTTAATTATTTATTGCCACAATTAAAGGCAATAGTGAAACAGTAGATAGATGAATTTATCAAAATTTCAAATGCTCCCAGTTTAGTTCTTGCAACACATACATGCAACCATTTTAGAGATTTAAATTGATAATTTAAAAAAAGCATGTATGAATATGTAGTAAAAATTCTAAAGATAAAAACTAAAGCTGATGAAACATTAATAATTGAATACAACAGTAACATTAATTATTAATGACATGACAGCAAACATTAGCTTATGGACATTTTGGCGTCACGAGATTCAGAATGACGTTGTAGAGTTACAATAGAGTTGTCATTAGTTATGATTTTATGATTTTTCATTCATTATTCAATTGTATTTTATTTTAAAGTAAATCTCTCTTTCTCTCTCTCTCTTTCTCTCTCTCTCTCTCTCTCTCTGTGTTTGTTTGTTTGTGTGTGTGTGCCTATCTGTGTGTATGTGTATAATTTAATCCATACTATTTTAATTATTACCATATTTATCTATTCATTATGCAAAATTAGTTTCTCGTTATATAATTTCAATGAAGTCATCATAAATAAATAAAAAAATATTTATTAATTTGATATAATCAATTGTGAACTTTTATTCGTTAGCCATAATTTTTTCAGATTTTAAAAAATTTAATCATGATTTTTTTTTATTTACATTTCAAAGTTATTCATTTTCTTCAAACTTTAATTCAATTCTTCAAATGAATTTTTTAAAATTTTCTAGCCGAATACATTTTTTTGAAAACTAACTCATTCATATTTTCTTCTTTAACAACAAATTTTTGTTACTTCTTTCAAGTAATATGCTCTCTTTGTAAATTAAATGATTTTAATATTAAAAAATTTCATTGAAGACATTCACACACACACACACACACAAAACACAGACACACATACTTTTTCCACTCGGCTATCTGAAACGTGCTGACGCCCACCCCAACAGCCCACGTCTCATCATTCTGTAGACAAATTTTTTTTATTAGCTAGTTGTAAATCAAGGAACTATGGAACGAACGAATAAATGATTAACTGATGGATTGAATGATCGGTTGAATGGTTTTTATATATTTTCCAAAAATTTCTTTTTCCAAATTTCCATAATTCTATATTTCAGCTGTCGTTCGTGTGTTTCATTGTTGGAAATACTAAATGCACTCTTCTGGAAAAATAATTTTTGATTTTAGAACTTTATATAATATGTATGTAATATTACCCGGGGCCTAAAAAAAGAGGCCTTAAGGGCCATGGGTCATATGGCATGAGTCTCTGATTCTAAGGGGTAGAAAGGGCCTCTGAGAATAAATTTACGACCTTATACACAATTTTTTAGAATTTCGGGTGTGAAACTCTATGTTTTTGCAGACAAGTTTCAACTTGTTTGGCAATAAACATGCTCTCAAAAGCCCTGTGATATTATAATATTTGTGTTTATTTGAAAATTTCAAAAATCTTTGCGAAATATTGACAACAACAATGACCACCTTTATAGTTAATCAGGCTTTTATTATAAAAAATCAAAATAAACCAACAGAACTATGAAAGCGAGCTAAAAATGTTTGCAATAGAAATATAAATGTTAAAGGTTCACTAGATTCACATTTACACACACAAACACATAAACACAGGCATGCACACAACATTCACACTTACACACGCACATACAAACACTTTTTTTCTCTCTCTTTCTTTCTTCTCTCTCTTTATCTCTCTCTCTCTCTCTCTCTCTCTCACACACACACACATACACACTACACACACAAACACACACACACACACACACATATATATACACACGCAGTTTATCTATCGTTAAATGAGGGTCAAGGCAACCAAAACGCTCCAGGACAGAACGATAACGCTGATGGCCAGACAGGAACTCTTGGCTGGTACTGTGTTTTTGGAGATTAAAAAAATGTTTTTTTTAAATTTTGGCTTGATACAAAGAACTAATTAATCACTAGGGAATTGATGAGGACAATAATAATTAAAAATATTAAAAAGCAATGAGCGAAGAACATTCGTAACTGTAGGTTTCAGGGTGGCTGTAAAATATGTTCAAGAGATTTTTCAAAGATTTCGGAGAAAATTAAACATTTTAAAAAGTGGGAAAATTGTCGTGAGAGTAGTGAACAATTACAAATGTGTCTAACCAGTCGTTGTAGTAGTGGTAGTAGTGGTTGTAGTAGTTGTAGTAGTTGTAGTAGTGGTGGTCGCCTCAGTAATTTCTGCCACTACTGTATGAAAAAAATTGTCTTGGTCGTTATACTATAAAAAACAATGATAATGACTGAAGCAAGATATAAACATCGTAAAAAAAAATTTTTGAACATCTCAATTATTTCCGCTACAATCCACACTTTAGGTCATTCATCAAAATTTAATTTCTTACAAAATGTTTTCATCAAGATTAAATAAAAGGAGTTTAAACACAAAAAATTCTCCCAACTCGAAGCCCAAGCAAATGGACTTCTACTCGTTTGACAAATCTCGTTGGGATTGTCTGGATTGACATAGTTCTCAGTAAAGCAGTAGCCATTAATGACGCATGTATTGGCCTGTATGATGAAAAATTCTCAAACATTTGCATTTAATTTAATTAAATTTAATTATTTATAATGTTTATTTGATATTTATTTAACATTTATTAATATTTATTTAAAAATTTAACAGTTGTTCCAAAATACCGACTCAAAAATTGGATAATTTTCATAATCAACATTCAAAATATTTACAGTTATAGGGATAGGGCATCAATAAACCATATTTTACCTTCTGAGAACAAGCAGACGACGTGCATGAGATGCAGGTCGAATCATATATGAAATAAACCACCTCCTCGCTAGTTGCTGAGCCTGCTCCATTGTCCAGCTTCAAATGAACTCTAAGAAGTGGATTGCCTGGTGGCAGAGAAGAAAATTTGGTTCTATTTAATAATCTGGAGACGTCGAAGAAGCTGTTTTTATAGAATTCAGGATGAGGACATGTTGTCTCGTCGGCATTTTCGTATGTTCCATTCGTTGCGGAAGTTGATGTGGTGGCGTAAATATTCTTCTGCGCATCAAACTGTGAAAGTTACAAATTTGGGTGTTGCTAATTTTTACTTGGAGAAATTAAAAATTGCTAATTATTAAAATGAAGGAGTGTTTATATGCTGCAATAAAGTTTCAAAAGAGTGTTTGCTGGCAGGCTGTTTTTGTTCACATGCCACTAAACTCAAACGCCATTGGATAAATTTTTCACAAAATTATTATAATAGGATGTAAAAAAGATAGGTTCAATACGTATTATAATACGATGTAAAAAAGATAGGTTCAATAAAAAGTTCAAAAATTTATAATTAAATAAAATGCGATAAGTTATTTTAAAAGATTGAAATAATAAAAGAAAACTCACTCTCTCCACGGAATACATACACCTGATACCGTTTAGTGTGCTGGAGGTGTTGGAGGAATTCAAACGAACATGATTCCCACATTCATTCTTCCATTCACAATGCGTTCCTGCCTGCAATCTGATGCTTGGAGCCGTGGCCATTGCCAAATTACAATCGGAACCGATGTATCCTGTTTCACGTTTATAATTTTATTTCAAAATTTTTTGAAAACTTCTAACAACTTATAAGAAATTTTGTTACGATACATTTGTACGATAACAACTTATTTTCAAACTATTTGATTTTTATGTGAACTTAATGTTAAAAATTGAAATTTTTAAATCTATCGACTCAAACTCTGCAAAACCCTTTCACCTATTTGCACTGACCTTGGAAACAATTACAGCTACCATCCCTACATACTCCATTAATGCAACGAGTTTCGCAGACAGCATTTTCGATGCCCTCCAGCGCTTGCATTGCTGACATGAAGGGAGGAACCACCGGATCGTTGAAAATTTCCGTAGCGTTGGGTTTGGTTAAGGGGTTAGGAGTGCTCGTCGAAGTATTCTGATTTGTAATAGATTGTAACTGGCAGATGGTGATCAACTCAGACAGTTTATCGGCTGCCATGTTCAGTTTGTCTGACACCTAATTATTAGTTATCAAATTCAGTATTCATAAATGTTCAAAAATTAATTTAAGGTTAAGAAATAAATCACCTGGATATCTTGCACACATTTCTCAATAATTTGGTTGACTTTAGCCATAGGAGTAACATCTTTGCAGACGGAATAGAGAGAATTATTTGTCCAAATGACTTGCGTGCAGTACGTTTTAGCCTCGCTCTCAGATATCCCCGATGTTGTGGGAAAAGTGAAATTATAGGTTGAATCATCGGGACTTGTCTCGTAACCAAAGTCTGAAATGTCCAATCCGTTGCCTGCGGATCGTTTTTTTCTGCTTGAAGCTTTCTCAATGAGGAATAACGTGGCGTCGAAGTAACTACTTGAAGTTACGACACTTGCTTCATTCGTTTCAACATCACATTCGGCAGTTGAGTTCTTGCATCTACAAGTTTCTGGTTTGGCTGATTCGAGTTCTGTAGAGTTGGAACCATCTATATGACCATCAAACAAACTTTTCCCTCGGGCCAATCTTTAAAAAAATAAAAGTATTACATAACATTCAAATTTTGACCAGTCTACTAATTCGACATTTTACAGCTAAAGTTATTGCAAAGTTAATTTGACATGATCATACAAATCTATGAGCATTATTACCTCCACGAATCAATATAACTCTTTGAAGCTACAGAGCTCCAGCCGTAACTGTACTGGACGACAGTTTTGTTTTTGTACTGCATATCGTTGCTTGAATCACCATCGTAATTTCCGCATATGCCTTCTACTAAACCATGATAGATGGATGGCAAATAGATTTGAATGTTCATCATTGTCGGGCTTATCGAGCCATACACTTTTGCCGAAGGCGTGTTAAGCTAGATTTAGTGTTAAATTAAATGTAAACATTTACAACTGTTTCATCTTGATACTTTGAAAATTTTCAAATAAAGCTATCTTTTAAATATTAATCTTCCATTTCATATACTAATTTTAACTTCTAACAAACTGACTTCAAAAGACGTTCCAGAGGGTGACCTTAGAACGCTGAACCCAGAGGGCAGCGTGGTTGATGGATAGGCTAAATGACGAGGGTAGCCGTTGAGGCACATGTCAACAGCTAAGATGACCCCACCATCCCTTATCGCAACTCCACACACGCAAGCTACCAGCTGCACACACGGCCAGTGTCTGACATGCACCTTTTCAGAAATTTTAAACGATGAATTAAATTCTTTCTCTTTGTGAAATTTTAAAGTTTTAGTAATAAACAGAAGTAAATTTGTGAAAGTGTAAAATAATGAAATATGAAAGAAAGAAAATTATATCGCTATAAAAAAATTAGAAATGAGCACTACCTCTAATCTGTTATCGCTACTCTTGACGTACACAAACTGGCCACTCTGATAGACAGAGAAGAAGGCACTGTCAAACGTAACGACCCTTGGATCGCCAGATGTCGTGCACACTCTAGCCGAATATATATTGTCATATCTGTCCATCTAAAGTCAAATACAAACATTATTCCTTCATGACTAATTTTCTACAATAGATTTTTGCTATTCATTCAACTTATGTTATTAAGCAATTAATAGTTAGACGTGACAACAAAGAATTATTCACAAAAGCTCTTATCACCGTGATGATTGGGAACATGTAGTTGCTCCAAATGTTGTCGTAAGAGTTGCCGTTGTAAGATTTCTTAGGTAAGTTAGCCACGACTGCAGTCACGCCAGTTTGCATGTAGCCAAAGTAGAAAACATCGGCTGACGAGAAAACTCTGAATTTGCTAGTCAGTGTCGTGTTTTCTTGGAAGAATCTTGAGCATTGTTGCGAGTTCTCGTTTTTGATTCGCACGTAGTTTCCAGTTATCAAGGAAAAGCTCAAAACGCATTGACTGGGACTTGAAGTTTCGGACGGACATGTGATTGGCAGAGTCGAAGTGTACCCAACCTCAACGCCAGACGTCTGGTTTTCAAATAGTGATATCCGTTGTCTAGATGCCTGCCAATCGGTTTATTACGTTAATTATATTTCAAAATTTTATGATTTTATCAGCGGTTGATACCTTAACTCCAAGAAATATTTGAATCTTGTTCTGCTGTTTCGAACTCTTCACCGAAGTGTTGTTAGACCAGGATGACTGCACCTCACATGAAATCTAGACAATTTGACAACATTTTCATATATGTATTTATTTCTCCATTAAAAGCTGAAACTACTTCAATGTTTTAGACAAATATGTCCATTTATACTAACTGATTTTCCAAGTTTTCCGACGAGAAACATTTCATGCAGAGTGACATTTCGACTGGTCCCAGAAACAACAGTGGAAGGCACATCAGAAGCAGGTGACCCGTCAAATAGGAAAGTTACGTGGAACTGAGCACTTGCGCTTGTTTCGTTACTTTGAAACTCACAAACAAATTCAATCCACTGTCTGTTCTTCACGAATGGACCAAGTATTTTCACATTTGAAAAATTTGGAGTTCCAGAAGTGTCTGTTCATAACAATTTTACATAAAAATAAAAAACGCTATAACATATTTACAAAAAGTTTTAAACTTTCGAATAAAAATCACACACCTTTGCACGTAAAATTAACTAAACTTGTAATGTTCAAACTGCAGAATGGGTCTGAAATTAAAATAAATTAAATTGATTAAACACATAATGGCACAGAGTTATTGAGTTTTTAACAAAACCTCCAACAATTGGACAATTGTAGCCGGGTACATTGATGTCTAAACGGTACAATGCATCAAAGAGGTATTCAAAAGATCCGCACTCAGGAATCGTTCGACTCATAACGTTTGCCACGCAGCCGATGTAATTTAATCCGCTCTGAATAACTCTTTAATAAAGAAAAAAATAAAATTTTGAATACGTTCATTTATCATAAAACCAACTAAATGTGTGAATACGCACGAGCAATTATTATAAAAGGGAGCATTGTACGGTACGAAACCCATGCTGTAACAGATGTAAAGTTCGTTGTTGATGTATCCCTGCCGATTTGCATCGTAGCTGTTCGAAACACATTGCTCCAAATCATTATATTCTGAAATTTACAAACAGTAACTTTCATAAGCATAAACATACAGAGACACGGAGAGACACAGAGTGACACATAGAGACACGAATAAAGACACACACACAGACACAGACAGACAGGGGATACTTTTACATTCAAAAAGTATCTTTGCATTACTGGAACGTCAGTGCCAAACATCTTAACCACGTGCATTTCTTCACACACACACACACACACACACACACACACACACACACACATAATGTCTGCAGACCTGGCCAGTTATTGCAAGTAACGTTAACATGAAGGGACATCATTTTTAAGTGGGTGGCAGCCGACTGATCGCACAATCCGCCATTTCGGTCAATGCAGGCATAAAAATTCGACTTTTTTCTATAGAAATTAATAATAAGTAGAGGTTTCAAGCCCCGTTCAAATATTTATTTTTAAAAATCTTAGAAGTGTCATTCGAAGAAATTGATTATTTAAAAAGTAAGTACAGATTAAAAAGCATTAAAAAGTCGATACAGAACATGTGTTCTTTTGGTTATCCAAGTTTTATACTCTGCTCAAATAATTGTGCATACTTTTTCATTCGTTAAAATACTTTCCAAAATAAAATTGAACTGCAGACAAACGTTAATGACATTAGAATTTTGAAGAATACTCCCCACTCACCTGCATACATTCTCATAGTAGTCAGAAATAAATTCATATGGGTTATACCAATAGTTACTAAAGAACTTGTTCATTATATTGTTCTGCCCCTTCAGTGAATAACGAGATACGTTGAAAGCTTCCATTGAGCAATATTTCAGCAAGTTGTCATCTCTATTCCCGATACATTTTGCTTCAATTAAAAAACAAATTATGCTGTCGTGAAATTCGAAAAGTTTTAAAAGGTGAAGGGAGATTTTTGAACTTGATATGCGATCGTTAATTTAATTTGACACAAAACAAAACCTCGAATTGTACATATACATTATTTAATATGGAAGCAGTGGCTAATCTATGGAGTCCGGGAAGGCCATGCCCCCCCCGTTGTATGCTGTTTGTTTTCTTAAAAGTCAGTAACACTCAGTTTTTACACATTTACACAAAAGACGCAATTTTAAGTAGAATATTTGCCATTAAAAAAATTCACGCCAAATAGTGCTAAAGAAAATATAAATTGAAATTTATAAAAATTAATCAAAGTGGATTCAATTATTAATTAGAAAAACTATAATAAAACTATGAATTAAATAAAGGTATATAATGCCACAACAAATATTTGTGTTAATTTTAAAACCTAATGATTTTGTCTCAAGAATGATAACATATTTTGAAAAGTTAAACTAACGACATTCATCTTCATCGCTGTCATCCCCACAGTCATCCTTAAAATCGCACTGTTGATTCTGGTAGATGCACTTGTTATTCAAACATTTGAAAAGATATGTCTGGTTGCATGCTGTAGTTTTTGAGTTTGTGGAAAAAAATTTATTAATAGGTTATTTCGAGTTTTAAAATGTTGATCAAAAAATAGGATAGACGTTAATGAATAGGCGTCTGAATGGCTGAACTAAACAAACAATGAATGAGTGAATGAACGACTCAATAATGAATTAAATGGATGAATGAAAGAGTTAGTAAGTGAATGAATGAGCGAATGCCCAACTAACGACAGTCCAACTCATCACTTCCGTCGCCACAATCGTCAATCATATTGCATTTGCTGTAGCTAGGAATGCAGCGATTGTTGGAGCAGTTGAACTGGTAGTAATAGTTGCAAGCTGTTGTGAAAAAAAAACATTCAATTCAAACTTATATAAAAAGTTGAAACTTTCAATTTCTTTATTGGTGCATAAGAGTTGAATTCTCTAAAAAAAAGTTTCCGATAAATATTGGAAATTTAAATTTCTCCTAACCGCATCCTATCTCGTCACTCATATCACCGCAGTCATCATAGCCGTTGCATCTGCTGTACGACGCTATGCACATTCCGTTTGTACACTGGAACTTGTTGTACGCGGCATCGCAAGCTAGATTTTTAGTTTGAGAAAAAAGTTTTAAATTCTACTGAATGGGTATTATAAAAAAAATTAATTGTAACTTCTTAATTATAAAACAACTAAACAATGCAGTTGTAAAATTTTCGACTACTCACTACAATTATCCTCGTCGCTGTTGTCTCCACAGTTGTCGTAGAGATCGCATTTGGCACTCGATTGAATGCACTTTCCATTTCTACACTGAAAAGTGTTACCCATACTGCTGCACGCTGTCCATGAAAAAAAAAAACATTGAATTCAATTCATTTTTGAAAGCCGAATGTGATTTTGAACAGAAGAACGTACAGCAGTTGGCCTCATCGCTACCGTCAGAACAGTCCGCATAGAAATTGCATTTGCTTTGCAAAGGTATGCACTTACCATTGTTTGAACATCTGAACTGAGAACTTGCATCGCAATCTGTGGATTTGTGTGGTGAAAGATTTGAAAAGATTAAAAATTCAGCATGCCGATGTAAAATTATGTAGCAGAATTTTATTTTTTGAAGCTGAAAATTTTTATTCTTCATGTTTAGTGCTAATAATATTATTTTTTTCCTTCTATTGCAATAGCCCAATCTGTATATTGAATAGAATTTGTCATACACGTATGCAATAGTCACCTTCAGAAAAGTAGAAAAACTTCTTTTTAAGTTTGATTTGAAATTGAAATTTTAAGATAGAAATTGAATTTATTCAGGATATATATAATAAAATGAAAATTTGGTCTGATTTTTGGCCCGATACCTATTCGATATATCTCAACTTGACAGCCGCAGAATCTTGCTAAACCTCCAAGTACCATTCATATTTCAACATCAGTAACAATTCTCATACATTTTTTGCACTTACGCGTAGTTTTATTAGAATGAATTTGCTAGAGTAAAACTGAATCCTCGCTCACCGTTTGTACATCGAAGAATGGCTTCTTTTGAAATATAAGCTGGCTGATACGATAAGCCGTATGAGCACTGGCTGATAGATTCGTAATATGGATTACATGATATTCTTAAAGCGTATGGCACATTCATTCCAGCGTTTGTATTGTTCAAGTCGTTAACCAAGACACCATTGGTATAGTTCAATTCTTTACAGAACAATCTGCAATAAGAAGATAATTATCGTTTATAATAAATATAATAATCGTTTAAGTTTTTGTTACTTTTAAGACAATTTTTAATTCACTTTTTTTCTAATTTAATAGCAAACTTGCCAAAACAATTCAAAGTTCAAGTACCCTTATATTCCATGGCGTCCTCTTTTTATGAACCTCACAAAAATGCTACCGTTAAACGTTGTTATGATTTTGTGGGGGTAAAAATGACACGAACGGCAATTTCGCTAATTTGTTCGGTAAGAATTAAAAATTACTTTTTAGGTCCATCATACTTTCTAAAAATGAATAAAGTTGATGAACGCCGGAATATTCACGAAAAAACTTTGTACAAAATGGTTGAAATCGCGTGCACACGTGGTTTCGTCAATCACAATAATAACAGAAAAGTTGTGTTCTGATGTTTACCTGGCATTATTTTCATACCAGTCGTAAGAGCTTACAGCCAGCCACTTTTTACGGTACTTCACTTGCAACTTGCCGTAACTTTCGTTGCCACCAGTGAGTCTGACAGACCAAGCAGAATCTTTAAATTGATATTTGTGTTTAGTTTTCCTCAAAAAATCCAAATAAAATTTCAATTTTAGTTTTAAAATTGTAATAAAACTAAATGAACAACTGAAATGAGAAATGAAGAGTTGATTTTAATTAAATGCGGAAACAAATTTATTACTTTAGTTTGACTTTGCCAAATTTGAAAACCATGACTTTTTATTAAGTGTTGACAACTAAAATAAATGCCTACTCACTTTTATAGCAATTCAAGCTCACGGGATAGGTGTAATCACAGGACGGAGTTTTCATATCATATGAGCAGTTGGATATGTATTCATCATTCCAATTGCATGTAACATTGGTGAACATTATAGGACGAATCAATGCGTTGTTGAAGTAATAATAATAATAATAATAATAATAATAATAATAATAATAATCATCATCATTTATTTTTTTATCACAATTATCGTAATGGAAACTATAGTAAAAATAGCTCAAAGATCCATAGTCGAATCCCATTTCTTTGCATGCCAGTCTAAATGTTTGAAACAAAATTATTTAAAAGTTTTATAAAATTTATCAATTCAAAAAGTTCAAGATTATTTGATATGAACAATTCATCAGTTTAATTAATATTTTGCTGAAGTTGCTCACTGAGTATCGGTTGAAGTCCACCCATTTACATCAACAGTTCCCCAGACTCCATTCTTCTTAACAACAAGTTGTCCTTGGTTATTTATTACACTACCCGGTTGGTACAACTCAACGTTTTCATCTGAATATACTGTTTATTAACAATATTTTGAAATTTTTCAAATTTTATATAAATGTTTCTTTGTGCAAACATTTTAAAATACATCAAATAATAAAATTTAGAGTAGTGACTATTTTATTTGACACTAACTGCATCCAATTTCGTCACTGTTGTCTCCGCAATCGTCATTAAAGTTGCATCTTTGTGTATCCCAATAGCACCTTGAGTTGTTACATTTTGTTGCACTGTAGCCATAACGATAGAATATCGAACTGCAATCTAGCAACATTTGTATATGTGGTAAATTTTTTCAGCGGTGAAAGAATTTTGAAACTTTTGTAAGAACATGAAACACAATTCTGTTTTATTCAAAAGCTTAATTAGCTTAAAGCTTCAAGTTATTCTAAAAATGTGTTACACAAAACCAAAACAAGAGAAATTGTTTTTCCAAGCCAGCTCACCACAGCCAATCTCATCGGAATGATCTCCACAGTCGTTGAAAATGTTGCATCTCTTCTGTGCTTGGATGCAAAATCCGTTCGAACACTGGAAGCCGCCTAGGGTTGAGTTGCAGTCTGGCAAAAATTTAATTCAAAAATTCTTTAAATGAACTTGTTTTGTTTTGTTTTGCCAACTTGATTTTTCCAAAAGCCACTTTTAACGAGTTCAAAATTTTTAACCAAAATGAACCAAAGCCAAAAAACGTGGAGAACAAAAATGGTTAGCTGTTGATTAAATTTTAAAATTTGTAGTGTTTTTGTCGTCAGAGATTAGCCAAAACTTCCTAAAATCGAAACCAAAGGATCCGTTATAACAGACAGCTCTCATTAATCATGCAAATGCTCACTGGTGCAGTTGAATTCATCGCTGTTGTCGCCGCAGTCGTTTTGACCGTCGCATATCTTGTAGGAAGGTAGGCATCGTCCATTTCTGCATCGAAAGCTGTAGTCGGTACTGCAAACTGAAGCATGTGTTAAAGTCATCAATGTATGCTATCAATATTATGAATACCAACAATTTACTGTTTAATTACGCATCGTTATAAAACTTTGAACTAATCGTTTAAGTCGGCACGGCATATAGTCTCAGTGAAGGGTTAGTTGAGCGAATAAACGAATTTAAGCTTAAAAAGGCTTTCTAGTCCTAGGTTGCAGTAACTAGGTTCAAATGCAAAAAAATCACCTCTTGTCATTAATTTGCGTTAATTTGCTTAAGTGGTACTAAGAAAGACATTCTTATTTCAACAATTTCTTTCAGTTAAAATAGAGTTAATTAACTATTTTTTATAGTTTATTTTTTATAGTTCATTTAATTTTTTAATCCTTTATTTCAACAATATTACATATTCAAAATTAAATTTTTTAATAAATATAACCCGAACCATTGAAGCAGCGAAGAAAAACATCTGCTGAATGATTCTGCGGCAGATTGGATTGGCTGAAGGAACACTGGCCGTTGCTAGCAGATGAGTAACAATTAGCACTCGAAAGAATCGGCGCGTCCTCACCAACTGTCGTTCCGTTCAGATTCTTAGTTAGGTAACCACTTGCATAATTCAGCTCATTGCAGACCAATCTTAGTCAAGTATTTTTAGAGGTTTTTAAATTGAAGAAAGGTTTTATTTGTGAATATTTTCATTTTGAACATTTTCCACAGAATTTTTAAGATTGAACATCTTAAAGCGTCGAAAATGAGAAATTCCACGTAGTTTGTTGCCATATAATTAAAGATTTAATTTTTATCTCAATTGCGAAAAATTAGATTTAAGTAAATAACATAAAAACATAAACCTTACTACAACCATTTAACAATTTAAGTTACGCACAAACAAACATCATACCTTGTACTGTCATTGGACCAGGATGAAGAATCTACTGTAAACCATCTGTTAGCATACTTCATTTGTAGTCTCCCATAATTGTTTGTGCCGCCTACGAGTCTTACGGATAAGGTAGAATCTGAAAAAAAATTATATCACGTTGCTGCTCTTTACAACTGAAAGGCTCTATTACATCAGGAGACCAAGTTGACAATCAAGTTGAAAGACGAATTATGAGGAAAATAAATCAGATCGCGACGATTTTTGCTTTTAAATTTGTACAACCAATGTCTGACTATTTGAGGTGTTTTTTTTTAAATTATTAACTACTAGCGAGTAAAAAAATAATATTTTCTTACTGTATGAGCGTAATTTTTAAGAACATTTATTTTGTTTCTTTAACTTGTTTTCAATCAATATAGAAGCCTCAACTATTTCTTAAGCAGCAAATTAGCAAGCAAGTTAGCCAGCCAGCCAGCAAGCAATCTAGCTAGCTAGCTAGCAAGAAAACAGACCGACAATGAAATCAGCTCAAGAAACAAATGATCAATTAATTTCACAAACTTGAGTAACAGTTTAATGTCACTGGGTAGGTTGAGTATGGGTCACAGGTCGGGTATTTCATTTCGTAGGAGCAATCAGAAAGACGTTCACCATTCGGAGTGCAGTTAAAGTTTTTATACATTACAGGGCGAATCAATGAGTCGTAAAAACCAGCTTGATAAAAGTTATAGTAATCATAAAAATTTCCGTACAAGTTCCCGTATCGATTGTTGCAGTTGTCGTAATGATAATATAACGAGTAGGAAGATTCATATCCGTAGTCAAATCCCATCTCTTTACACGCAACTCTGCATTTCAATGTTTAGTAATTTATTTAATTAAATAAATTAAAGTTAAATAATTTAAATCTTGAAAAACGTTTTATAATGTAAGCTCAATGCAATTCAACGACATTACAGAATTTACTGACAGTGTGTTAGCTGAAGTCCATCCTTCATGTAGAACTGTCCCCCAAACTCCATTTAATTTTACGACAAGCTGTCCATAGTTATTCAGTTTAAAATTTTTCTGGTACAACATCACATTTCCATCGACTGTTCACAAATGTTATCATTGCAGACTGTAAAAATTCTTTCGTTTAAAAGTTTTTTTGAAAATTTTAATGTAAAATAATATTATTTTGTCTTAATATATAGGCTGTAGACAAATTTGAAAGTTTGATTTTATACTAACAGCAATCATTCTCATCGCTGTTGTCTCCACAGTCATCATTGAAATTGCACCTCTGAGCAGGATAGTAACATCTCGTGTTGTTACACTTCAGGGCACCATAGGGCATCAAATTGCAATCTTATGTAAATATGCATAGATTTGGTTTTAGGATATATATATATATATATATATATATATATATATATATATATATATATATTAGTAATAGACCATAATTTTCACAATATTCTATAAATTCTACCAAATGTTTGGCGTTAATATGTTTGTAGTTCGTTTTTTCGATTAGTCTTGAACTACCTTCTTTTTAACTTCTAATTCTCGAGAGAGATGGAGCAGTCAGATATATATATATATATATATAAGTACGCAAGATGTATTTAATTGTATATGTATGTGTACCACGTACCAGCTTTCTGGGTAGGTATAATGTACCTAAAATTTACAAATTAATTTCTGCGGTGACAGCTCAATAATTTTTTCGAACTTTTTTTATTAAACCAACAATTTTAAACGTAATTTCTATGTAACATTGGCTGAAGTTGTAAAAATCGTTGTGATCAGAAATGCCTAGCCGGCTATTTATTAAAAAAAAACGAACTAAGTGGGCAACAAACAACCGACCACATCCCATCTCGTCGGAATGATCTCCACAGTCGTTGTACATGTTGCATCTTTTGCTCGATGGCACGCACCGGCCATTGCTACATTGGAAGTTACTTGCATTCGTGTTGCAGGCTGGCAAATGTGAATGATTAGTTCAAGTAAAAGTTATCCAGTGAAATATTTACACTAAGAAATATATCTTTATCAACACCCGTTTTCTTTATTTTTGAAATTTTATTAGAATATTCAATATTGATTGTATAGGGTACTAACGACAAGATAGTTCATCGCTGTTATCTGAACACTGGCTGATTGAGTCGCATCTCAAGCTAGAATCAATGCAATGGTTGTTTGAGCATAAAAATTTGTTGTCCGAAGTGTCGCAAGCTGATGAAATAAACGGATTATTTTGCTCATTTTAATATTTGAATTGTATTAAAATTAATTTAAGTCTCTGACAGAACAACTCCTTTTAAAATTACTTGTGTAAATCGGTTACTATTGAATTGAAAATAAAAATATTATCATTAGATTATACTTTTGTAAGCGTTTATTTATTAATCAATTCATATTTTCATTTAATCAATAACCTATTTATTCACTATTATTGCTACTATAATTTATTCACTATTATTGCTACTATAATTTATCAGCAATTTAGTTATTTCAAAATCAAAATGAAAGACTAACTAGAGAAACATTTCAGAAAGACATCCTCATTGTGATAGCAGCTTGAGCCGCTATTGTATCCCAACATACAATCGGACAGGTTCTGATTTTGATTGAAGCACGAGAAGCCCATCTGATTGATCGGAGCGTCGATGCCGATGTGGTTCCTGTAGTAATTCCTTGACTGCACGCCGCCAAAGAAGCCGAGCTCTCGACAGGCCACTCTTTTTTAAGGATCAACAAATTTAAGTTGTTTTTTTATTATACAGCTTTCTCTTACGTATCCTTACACGCATTCTTATAGTTATGGCTAAAACTTCGGGTTATGGAAGCTTTTGACATCTTACATAAATATTACATGCACTAACACACATACACATTTCTCGTTCGCATTCACAATCACCACATACAGGCAGGAAGTATAGTAATCTTTGAGTTTCGAAGAGACAGTGTTTGAACCAGTCTAATTTGCAATAATAACGCGAAACATTGCGCTCTTATCAACTGAGCTAACCGTGTGCCACTCGAGTGAACGTTTTATTTGGTCTATATCAAAACGTTTCTTAAACTTGCTCAAGCCATAATATTTTTTTAATTTTTAATTCATACTTCGCGGACTTACATTTCTTACTATCAATAACACTATAAAAAAAGCTTCATTATTTAATTTAATTTAATTTTAATAAAACGCAACAAAGTTCTTGCTAGTTTCATTTGACATAAAATTAACTCACATTACAATACAAATGGTTTTAAATTAAAAAATGTTATAAAAACTTATTAATGATTGACTGATCACAAATATATTGTTACTCAGAAATTAATCAATGATATAATACATGATATAACGTAGTCTTCAATACAAAAAGTTTGTCCACTTTTTTTCTATGAAATAAAAAAAAACTTAAAAAAACTCACAAAGTATTGGTTAGAGTCCATTCATTATCACAGACAGTGCTCCACACACCGTTCACTTTAACCTGCAGTCTTCCGTAGCTCGAGTTGCCACCGACCAAGCGCAGCGATGTCGATACAGTTGCTGTGTTAATTAGTGTAATTAACAATTGTTTAACTGCTAAAGTGCCTGGCACTGATGTCGCAGTGACCCGGTTCGACTGCAAGTAGAACTGCACTCTATCACATGCAATCTGTGTTTGGCGCTTTGGTTCACGTGTATTTACATGAATACGCTGTGTGTTTGTTGTTGGCTACACCGAGAAATTATAGAACGACTTTTTAAAGAAATATTGGCTAAATTTAATGATCGAATTTTTTTTTAAATACGATGATATTGGTTCTTCCTAAATAACATCTCGTGTTTTGACCGGTTTACAGCATTGCTCCTGTTAGCACACAAACACATTTCATTGCGTGTTATAAAAAAATATAATTTAAAAATCTTTTTTTATTTTGCACAAAGTACATAGCATCAATGAGAGTTTGATTTAAATTAGAATTAGCAAGGCCAAAAAAATAGAAAAAATTGTTTTGGGCTTAAATAATATATATAAAAAACTGCCAACGAACCAGGTATGCCGGCACAGATGAGTCCCAAATATACCAAAACTTGAGCCCACATTGGGCAAATTTTCGTTCAGATTCAAACAAAATTCTCAAGACTAAAAAGCAAGTATCAAAAAATTTGCACTACCTCTAACCAAACCAAACAATTTGAAAAAACTCATTCAATCTCAATTCTATATAAAGGTTTTCACGCTCAACCTGCAGAATTTACGTGATTCTTACTCAGTATCGCATATGCTTAAGTATTGCTAAAGACCTTTACATTACTACTATATGTCCTACAAACACGCAGTATTGCATAAAAGTACAGTAATGTTATATGAAAAATAATAGTTGCTATTTTCTAACTTGAGAACCCTACAGTGGCTTGTGAATTGAATGTAAGGTGGTATTGGTTAGAGTAACAAACAGCTATTTTGGTGATAAAACGCGCGGTTCAGTCATGCATGAACGTAGTTTATGTCTAACATTGCCTCAGGTTGTTTCCTGTAAGAGATATTATTTTATAAATTTAATAAAAAAAATGTCTGATGGGAAGGTATTTCAACTTTTCCAACACTTTGTCAGCCATGTAGAACCATTACAAACATACAAGACGACACGAAATAAAACCAAACTATATTTAGTAACAAAAATTTCAAAAAGAGTGAATTACATAAACAGAGCTAACCAAAGAAAATTTTTTTTAAATGTATCAAGTATGTTTATCCATTACTTTAGATTGGACATCACAAACTATACAACACACTACAAAATCTATACTATAATTTACCTGGTAAGCTGTTTTAAAAACATACGTTAATCTAAAACGGCTCAATAAATTGAAAAGAGCATACCATTCATTATCTGGTACGACGCAGTGTAGCACTATGATAATGGCGTAAAGTTTACTGGTTGAATAAGAAAAAATTCCCTAAAATTAGATAAATATTTGTTTATATATATATATATATATATATATATATATATATATATATCGGATTAAAATCGTTATAAATGCAAATATTGATGAGAGTCACGGCATGTTTCGCGTTACTAACTAATCCACGATTTACAATCCAATCGGGCATTAAAGGATACACATATCTAATTTTGTTTCTTATTTATTTTATTTAATTTTTAATGTATGTGTAATATTTTCAAACCGTCAATTATTTTTGATTTTAATTAAGATATTTTTTATTTTGACAGTCGAACGAAAATATTTTGATTTTAGTTAAGGGTGGCCTATCCGCAAGAATTTCTTTTCTTCTTTTCTTATTTTCTTATTTTTCTAATAAATATTCTATTCTATTCTATTCTTAGTTAGCTTCCTAAATAATTTTTCAATGTTTCTAACGGTAGAAACATTAAATCATTTCACAAGAAACATTCGTGCGTTTGATTCGGTAGAAAATAATTAGAAATAGTTAATTCTAAATAAATTCGGTTTCACGAAAACAGAGAAAGAAGTAGCGTGATGTGTTGAAGTTTGGTAGGAATTGGTAAAATTCCATTCCCAATCTTACCTGTGTATGCTGATCACGTTGCTACTCACTGTTATCATGCTGCCTGAAACAAAACTTTTTCAGATTTCTCCTTCATTTATTTACTCATTTTTTCATTCATTCGTTTTTTTCGTTCGTTCGTTCATTCATTCATTAGTTTATTCATTCGTTTATTCATTCATTCGTTCGTTCGTTCGTTCATTCATTCATTCATTCATTCGTTCGTTCGTTCATTCATTCATTTGATGAATTATGGGTAAGAATGCAATATTCAATTGTTTTAATTATTATTATTATTATTACACTGTTACTGAGTTATTGTTTTGTAAGCTACACTTACCCACGTTGAACCTAGCACTCCGAATTGATTGTACGTAATTCATTGTGGATCACTGCTTAGCAAACAATCAGCTTTTTTTATTCGTGTGTGAGCCGTGTTGAATGTGTGTGTGTGTATGTTTGTGTGTGTCTGTATGTGCGCATGCGTGTGCTTATTGTTATTAGGTATTAAGTTATTAGGTATATACATTTTTCTTCCTCTTTTTTTTGTATTTATTTATTTACTTATTTTATTTATATTGTTCTACTGCCTCGCATGTCGTTACAGTTTCTACGCGTAAAACGCTAAGGCATTAAATTAATTTTATTCGGATGATTATGAATTAGTTGATAATTATGAATTAGTTGTCGCCAAAAAATTTAACCTGTAGAAAAAACTGTTAGTAACGATGGTAAATATTTTGACATCTTTAGCGTATTAAAAACGTTCGTTAAAGTTTGAGATGTTAACAGAATGTAATGGAAAATTTCAGGTTTTATTCAATATTAGACACGTACAGTACATACGTTGGTGTATGTTTGATTGTATGTGTGTTTGTTTGTGTGGCGTGTGTGTGATGTGTGCAGCTCTAATAATATTTTTTAAAATAATATATAGTTATTGTCGATGATAAAAATATTGTCTTCTATTGTCTTGAAAAACGAAGAGACTAAATGTTTGGAAATAATTTCCTATTGTCACAATAGCTGTTGACAAGCTGCAACATGTCCAATGGGAGATAGGCATCGTGCTAATCATACATCACATGGAGCCATTGTTGTTACACGAACAATGCGAGCATTAACGATGTTTAAACAGTCGATATTTTGTGGCTGTTTCTTTCGTCGTGTATTTCTTGATTTGCGTCATTTGATGCGTATGGTTCAAGGCTGAATAAATGACTGAATGGTGTATGGTTGAATGTTTAAGGCTGGATTTGCCCGGAGCAATGGAGAAGAGAGTCACTAAAGAGAGGTTTCTAATTATGTCATCCCATCTCAAACATTTACTTTAAAATTTTTTTCTTCAAATTTTTAAGCTTAGACATTCGACAACTATAAACTTACATTTTTCTTATATCATAACACATTTAGAAAACTTCCGGATCAATCACACGGACCTTGCACTGTAAAGCTTCACGTACGATCTTGTCTGAATAAAATTTGTACGTCTCACCCTAATCAGTCGTTGCACTACCACAAATCTTGACCCCCCCGTCAAAATTTTGCCCCGCCCCATCAAAATTTTGCCCCGCCCTATCTCAACACTTTGGCCTCCCGTAAAAGTTGTCATTGGTCTCTTTGTTTATCTGGAAAATTTGTGTTAGCGACAATTGCGGCTGTTAATATCAATATTGTTAGTTGAGAG